CCCCAAAACCCCAAAACCCCAAAACCCCAAAACCCCATAATCTCAGATCAATATTGGATTTTAAAATTGGGCAATATGAGGGATAGGGAAGATAAAATGAGGCTCTAGGAGTCAGACTTTAAGCTTGGAAAGAATTAGCCACTTCTTTGGACCGATATATATCCCCGATACATATTTGTTGCTATTTTCGGTATAAATCACCTGTAAACCCATCTAAGTCTCACAGTTCTCATGGATTCTTTGGAGAATTTAAACAAATAATTTAATGTTCTGAAAATATATCGAATTTTCACAAAAAACTCATAAAGTCTCCTTACCTGCTATTAGGAAAGCCGGGTGTTTTCCAGTGGAACTGTACATTTTTCTTCTATGATTCCTTCTGTGTATAATTGTGAAATATGTCCGCATTTCTATTATTCTCATCTTCCTTGGTTTTAAACCATCTATTTCTTTTCTCAGAGAATAAATTTCACCTTTAGGAGCATTCTTTTCCATATCTTCAGTTGCTTCTTGGTCTTTTCTCTTTGAAGTTTTTAAACTTGGTCTTTGATTTATTCTTGCTAATCATTTGGTAGGCTGTCCCGACTGGTTATATTCTTGAAAGATTAAATGTGTGCTACTGATTATTTTGGAGTTACAAAATAGTTCAGCCATTTCAGGTAAGATATTAATTTTCATAGAGAGTGAATTCATATTCATTGTTTCTCTATTCCCAAAGCTTCATTTAGATATTTCTTGAAGCCAACATGGTCAAAACTGCTTCCTACATTTTAGGAAAATATACACAGGGTTACCACAAAGTTCCTGTTAAGAGCTCTTTTAAAATAATTTTTGGCAAATATAATTCTCCACCCTGAATAGAAATGAAAACGTGTATTAAACCTTTGTACGGAGACTGTTGACTTGAGGGCAACATCGAACGATAGCTTGATTAGATCTAAGAGCCTATAAGAAGGAAAAATGGAGGTTTCCAAGCTGATTCAACTCGTGAAATCGACTGTACCAGGGCTTAGAATCAGCCTCCTGATACTAATTTGCATTAGTTTGTCCAAATTTTAATTAAAACTAAAACTTTCAATCTCACAAGAGATGTATGGGGTTTTGGGGTTTTGGGGTTTTGGGGTTTTGGGG